GATTTACATTGGTACACACACATTGGTATTGTCTTACCAGAACATTTTTTTCTAATTAATGTCCTAATCCTTACACGAACTATAACTTTAGTTTACTATATTTCAAACACTAAATGTTGAATGCATACCTTCGGATCGGAAGTAGTTTCACTTTTTATATATATATATGTATATATATACATAGAGCTATTATTATTGGAGCATCAGCGATTCCAAATTTCTATGCAATATTGTATCTTTGACAGCATTAAATACAACTTTTATGTTTTCTGTGTCCACTGCAGTAGTAAAGTGATGAAATAGGGACTTTCTCGGGTCCCTTTTGACAGATATAAACATTTCCAAAATAAAATTTTGCACATCCTTCATAGAATGTGAATCTCCTGTGAACTGTGAAAAGTACCAGCGAACATTTGTATCAGGTGATCTTACTTTTTTGTCTAACAAATCAGTTTTATTCAAAAACAAGATGATAGACACTCCACCAAATATCATATTATTAACTATTGTGTCAAAGATATTTCTCGATTCCTCCAATCGATTGGTTCTCCTGTAAATGAGGAATATTTTTTAACATTTACATCTTTTTTTATGCAAAAACCTTAATTAGATTATAACGCACCTATCTTCCAATAGTACTTGATCAAATTCAGACGATGACACAAGAAAAAGTATAGAAGTAACACAATCAAAACATTGATACCACTTTTGTCTTTGAGATCTTTGTCCACCCACATCAACAAACAAAAAGGGGATATTATTAATTTGTATAACAAATTCTGAAATTCCTTTTGTAGCTTTCCTACAATGTAAGATATCCTGATGTGTGGGTACATAGTCCTGTAAATAAAACTTTTAATGCTTAAAGAATGCTATATTACAATTGTTAAAATAGTGGGAAAATATTATGGAAATTACCGTCCTCGCAATCCTGTCAAGACTATCCAAGAAATATTGAACCGAATCACTCTGTAATTAGAAAAATACTCATAAAGTATGAAAACAATAGAGATTCGTACATTTTAAATAATTACTACTGAATTGACACATCTGTGATCTTTTTTGGATATACAGTAAATAGAATAAAATATACAAAACACGCAAGAATATCTTACTAATTGAAATTCTCTCCGTCTATCAAAGGCTTTTTTGATCGACGCATCTTCCCATAAACTTCGTAAAGCTGGCACGTAATGAAGAAATAACCTAGCATCTAATACCATAGTATTTTCAAATTTCAGTAACTGATAACCAATATCATAGTTTTTAGGGTTTTCCCATGGAATATTCAACTTGTCACGAGCATCGACCAATACCTTCATTCCTTTTATTATATTTTGATAAATTACATGTTGGTATTCTTTGATCAATTCAGGCTGAAAAGTAAAGAAGAATACCATAAATAATAGATACTATTTATAAATAATATACATTATTTGTAAATGTGATTGATTGTATATACTTGTTCAGAAATAAATATTGATAGCAATATTAAAAAATCTTGACTTACAATTGAATTTTTTCATGAGGAGCTAACAATTTATTGAATATCCTATAAGATGTAGATTTACTAATGAAGAATGTGATAAATGGTAGGACAGAAAAATAAAGAATGTATAAACAGAACAGTCTGCTAAACATTATAGTAGTAATACTCTTTATTTATTATTTTTCTATTTAAATTCTTCTTATCTGAAACTATGAGTTAAAGTAGGTTTAATAAAATAATCTTTGCCACTTAACTAAATTGAAAGTATAATTGTGAGAATCTGAGTACGAAACAATAGTATATGTTCTTACAAAACTAAGACACAGATAAATAGTTGAATAATGTTTCAAAGATCTCAAGTAAGAAATTATAAAAGCTATTCAATCATGTCAGAATTAATTCCCCGCAAACCTTAAAAATCATGTGTTTAGGTCAACCACCTTCTCATACAAATGAAGATCTATTTTAACAACTATAATAACACTGACAGAGTCATGAAATCAAACTGCAGTTTTCCTCGAGTGAATGAGAAGCGTACGAGAGGACAAATAAGAAGCAGATTACGTCGTAAGGAAAGGATTTGATTACGAAGTCGAGGATGTCCTACCTCGAACTTAATTCCGTGAATAATTCGCATCTGTTTAAGGAATGTCGACTTTCCGCTCTCGCCCGCCCCGAGGAGCAGCAGCTTGACCTGTCGTCGGAGAGCCTGACGATCTTTCTCCAGCATCCGATCGATCTCCTGACTTTTGTAACGCTGCTCGATCTCCTCGGGGCTGAACTTGAACCGCAGGCAACAAGTACACGACCACGTTAAGGACCCCGCCATCTTGCTACCCTGCTACCCTCCTCTTCCTTCCGTCCCTTTTTTCTTCCGTCTTTCCGTGTCAGGCCGTCCTTCCGAAGGAAAATATCCTTGATTGTCTAAACACTGTGCACGCATACACATACACGCACACGCACTACTCGCTGCCGTACACGAGTTCGTATTCACGGAGCACGTACAGTAACGTAATGCACGTAACGAAGGTACCACCCCTTCCGTGAACAACCTGTTCGTGATTGCACGGGATCAGCGAACGTCGCGATTCAGAACCGCATTTCTCACCTAGGCGTAACCGGGGAACGCGGCCGCTGAACGAACGTTAACACACGTCGTCGTTCAACTCGGTTAAACTCCACACCTACCGTTAATCGCGAGACTCACGCCGTTGGCTGCCCACGATCCTCTCTGGTTCCTCGCGAATTGGACATGATTAAATAATCGTTCTAATTACCGAGAAAGAGAACTAACTCGCGCTCATCGTTCTCATCGCACTTTATCTTCGAGTAGGAGACGATCCTCGTCGGCCTTTCATGCGGATAACTTCTTCCTTAACTAACAATCGTATCAGCACAGTACTTGCACGTAGGACACGCATACACACCTGTGTTTCTTTTCTCTGTCGAGGAAACAAACCACGCAAGAGTTCACCTATGCCGAACTACATGATAATAATGCGGGGGAAGAAATATGCGAAACGACGAACGGGAAAACGTACTCCCCACCACGACGACATATTTGTTGTGAGATACTACCGCGATACATACACGTACACATGCACGGTGTCTGACACCGACCGAAACTGCACCTCCTGGCTCAGCCGCGTGATCGGTTTTGCGCGCTGTCATTCGTTGGAAGACCTTTCCTTTTTTCTTTATCCTTGTCGAAACTGCAATACATGCGACGACGATCCCTCTTGAACATCGTGCATTAACGATCATACAGTTTTCGTTATGTGGTGGGGAGAAAACGATTCATTTTTTCATTTCTCTCTCTTTCGTTACTCAATGATTCGCTGTACATTTCCCATTTCTCCTACCAGAAGCCGGTCTTTCCATAGTATCGAAGAATTTATGATAACACGGCGAAGTATGTTAGAGGTCAAACTTTTATCTAAATCTTTGATATTCTTGTTCTTAAATTCGGCGACCTCAACACTCTACATGTATATAACATTGCTGCTTCGTTAAAGTTTAATTTGACGTTTCTATCCTCCTCTATGGTCTGTTGATCGAAATAGGGCAAAGAAACTGCATGCGAGAAATTGGGAACGTGGAGAGGCGCGGTAATATTTGAAGCGCAACAGGTTTGAAAGTGAAGTCTAACAAATGTGAACAATTTTATGAATTAAATAATATCAGAAAAATGATTTCTATTATGTCATATGTAGAACTGAAGGTTCTTACGCATTTGAGACGAACTTTTTACCTATTTCAAATAAACATTAATAAGTTTGAACAGCAGAACATAAATATTCTCGCAAGATGTCACCCGCAGTTTATCACTGTATTCATGGTACATAAACTAATATGCGCATGCGTCATGGATCCATGCATTTTTGAAGCTATATTCATGATGGGTTTACTTATGGACACATGCGCACTGGACATTTGTGATTGAACATTGAAGTTGACTTTTGGGAAATAGCGACATACAATTTCGTGTCAGTTTTTGAACTTAACTACGGTAATGAGAGCTTACTCCTTAAGCTTTTCTTACTCTCTACCATTTTACTGTACTTCGTCGAAGCGTCAGCCAATCAGAGCAAAGAACATTTCTATATCGACCTTCGCTAACGGATCAAGGAGCAAAAGCAGGTCCCACTATAGTAGTGCTTTGGCATACCGAGCAGGGTCAGAGACAAAGCGTTCAGAAATATGAGGGTAGGAACAGAAACTATCTTTTCCTGATTGGTTGATGCTTCACAGGTAAGCAGTGCTGCCCTTACAGTTTTAGACAAAGAGAGGAAGTGGCGAGTCAATCAGAGAGCACGATATTAGCACAACCGCAAGCGAAAGAAGTCACACCAACGATCCATGTGGTTTGTCTCACTTTATCATGCTTGCGATCTTACTCTATCATCCGTTTGCCTGATGCTCCATCTGAAATACTCGGCACGATATTCGACTTGTACTTTTCGCCCCGTAGAATTCTCAACTACACAGTCCAGTGTATTTGCGAACGTCTTGATACCCGTAAGTTACATATTAGCTAATGTTTACTAATTTATGAATCCACCAAATTTTGTTAATTCAGCCATATTTTAGCTATGTTTCAGATAGAGCACCAGGCCTAATTAAAGTGAGACGGCCTAGGTTTGTCGCCCGTTTGGATACTTACACTAGAGCCCGCTGGTTTCGTTCTGTCTCTCTCGATCATTTTTCGTTCTCTTTCTAAACCAACTGCGCGGAGCTGGATGCGCATTAAAGTGGTGGGGATAGAAGCGCTCGGAAAACAGAGGTTGGCTACAGTTAGCTCAGTTACACGCAGTTACTCAGTTGGTTATAGTGTATTGAAGAGGTTGTAGTCTACGTAGGTGCTGAAATTTGTCAAATAACAGTGGTTGGCAAAATATTTATATACGTATAGATCTTCTGTAAAGGAAAATCATGTCGTTGGCAGATGAACTTTTGGCGGATCTTGAAGAAAATGACGATTCTGACCATATTATGGAAGAACCGGAACCGGATTTCATCCCGGCTTCTGTTTCCAAAACCATCGAAGAAGGTAATTAACCTCAATGTTTGCTAATGTAAACAATACTATAGAACTTAAATTTATTAATCTCTTTGGTTGGTTATAGAAATAAAAGTTGCTTCTGTAAGAGAATTGGCAAAATTAGGAGACTCGGAACAGTTGAAAAAAGTTATGTCTCATATTGAAAAATATAGCAAAGTTCCTAGAAAGTCGATTGATATTATTGGACCTGTTGAATCTGATCCTGAATATCAACTTATCGTTGAAGCAAATAATATGGCTGTAGATATTGATGACGAAATAGGTAAGTATCGATATTTAATTGAATTAAATTTTATAAATATGAGTATTATCAATTTTATTTGATGATATTATTCTTTGAATATTATTAATAATATCAGATTTATGACAATACTTTGGGATTAATCTAATAATATTAATTATATTTTTCAGCTACCATACATAGATTTACAAGAGACAAATATTCCAAAAGGTTCCCAGAATTAGAATCATTAGTTGTTGGTCCTTTGGAATATGTAATGACAGTTAGAGAATTAGGAAATGATTTAGACAGAGCAAAAAATAATGAGATATTACAACAATTTCTTACTCAGGCAACAATCATGGTAGTTTCAGTTACTGCATCAACAACACAAGGGTAATATATTTTTTAATAAATTATGAATAATATATAACAATATTAATCAAGCAGATGATGAGTACTATAAAAAAATACACATGTGATATTTACAGACAGTTACTAACAGAAGATGAGAAGGAAGCTATTTGTGAAGCCTGTGATATGGCAGTGGAATTGAATAATTGTAAATCGAAAATATTTGAATACGTAGAGAGTAGGATGGCATTTATTGCACCAAATTTGTCTGTAATAGTAGGTGCATCCACTGCAGCAAAAATAATGGGTAAATTTTGGAATGTTTTTCGGATTTAAAAAATTAATATTAATGTTTTTAAATTTCGTAAATTTGTAATAATGTATTGTACGTACCTATTTTAGGTGTCGCTGGAGGTTTAACTAAATTATCAAAAATGCCAGCATGTAATATTTTAGTACTTGGATCTCAGAAAACAACATTATCCGGATTTTCACAAGTGGCAACTCTACCACACACTGGTTTCATATACTATTCTGATATTGTTCAAGAAACTCCACCTGATTTAAGGCGGAAGGCAGCAAGACTTGTTGCAGCCAAAAGTATGTTGGCTGCTCGTGTTGACGCTTGTCATGAAAGTACAGATGGTCATATTGGTCAAATGTTTCGTGAAGAAATAGAGAAAAAGTTAGATAAGCTTCAAGAACCACCACCTGTAAAATTTGTAAAGCCTCTACCAAAACCTATTGATCCAGGTCGAAAGAAACGCGGTGGCAGACGCGTCAGAAAAATGAAAGAACGCTATGCCATTACTGAATTCAGGAAACATGCAAATAGAATGAATTTTGCTGATGTAAGTTTTATTTTTTCTATTCTACATTTTTTTAATATTATGTAATATTCTGATGTAATTCTAAATGTAATATTATGTAATATTCTTTTATTTTTATATATATTTAGATTGAAAATGATGCTTATCAAGAAGATCTCGGTTATACTCGTGGTACAATTGGCAAGGCAGGCACAGGTCGCATTAGGTTACCTCAAATTGATGAGAAAACAAAAGTGCGAATATCGAAAACACTTCAGAAAAATTTACAGAAACAGCAGCAATGGGGTGGAAGTACAACAGTCAAAAAACAGGTCTCTGGTACAGCATCCAGTGTCGCATTCACGCCATTGCAGGTAAATAACAGTAATGTGAACAGTACATGAACGTAGTCTTATGTTGGGTATTTTGTAAATTATAATAATTTCTCTTTTTTCTTACTTATAAGAGAGCTTGAAATACATTATCATAGAAATGTCAAAAATATAAAATGAAAAATTCTATTCTCTTTGGAAATCATTTTCCATTTATTAATCTCCTTACTGATAATTCAACATATCTCGTGATAATTGTTAAAATCATTTTTGTCAAATTTGATTAATAGTGAGCTTTATCTAGTGATTATAGTGGCATGAAATCTTTGTATTGATCAAGCTGAAATAATCAATAATTTTATAAAAATTTATTTTTTTTTGTAGGGCTTGGAAATTGTAAATCCGCAAGCAGCAGAAAAGAAAGTGAATGAAGCTAATGCGAAATATTTCTCAAACACAGCTGGTTTTCTGAAAGTAAAAAAATAAATAACAGTTTAAAATAATAGGTATTGCTATGAGTAAAACAATAATTTTATATTTAGTTTTTATAAAATACTTTATTTATATGTATATATATATAAGTAACTGTTATACAATGTACACAATAAACAGTCATTTCATACTAACAACAAACACATTTCCCAAAATTGAAAACTTTTACAATGAAACATTGTGTTATGAGAAATTTCATAAGCCCGTATTCATAGTTTGGACGATATTATTCCAAGACGGTCATGGCCGTCTTGACCAAGACCACGTTTGAACTAGTTTCCAGAATATTTTCGATATACTAATCAATAGAAATGCAATCCTCTTTTTTATAGAGTCACGCGTCCTTTGAAAAGCGATTGAAAACGAAGCCATCATTCACTCTAATTTGATTAGCTTGCTCTTGAAATGTTTTCTTGTAACTAGATGATATTGGGAGCCCCCGCCCCACACACATAGTTATTTATTTTGTTTAAATAAGGTTCCACCTTCGGTGGTAATCCGTGGATAATTCCTTGAACTCATCGTTGCGGGATTTGTGAAGTGGATTTTCTGCGTTTTGAATATATTGTTTCGGTACGCCCATCAATATCTGTCTCACTTGTAGCGAAAAATTATTGCTATCGGATGAGAAATAAGATGTTTTTACTTACGACTCTGAAAGTGAAATAAGACTGTTCTTATACGATTATGAATCAAGCGAGGGCAATCTGGGGCAATCTGCCGCCGTAAAAACAATCGACTGCAGCTTTGTGTCGCCGTGTTTTCGCAATACAATAGTGTTTGATATGAAGTAATTTACACGAGACGGTAATTCGGTGGCAAAGTTTTTGTTAAAACAAGGGCGCAATAGAAAAATGCAAACAAGCGATTTACGGCAATCCGACGCCGCAGCAACTTGCCGCTGCGTTTCAGCAGAACATAGATATTTTCGACGTACTTCACATGCAACGTGAATTGTAGCAACAAGGAAGCGGTACGTTTGCGTGTTTTTTGACCGAAGTAAATCCTGCTTCGCCGCAAACGTATCGCTACAATGTGTATCGGCATTCAATATGTATAATCGTCCTTCTTTTAGTATTCAAGAAAATAGACAGTCGATACTGACGTTTTGATCATCATAAAAACACGTACGGATATACGACATAAACGCGTACGGAAGAATGGCATAATAGAATAAAAAAGATAATGCATGGATGTGGTGAATGCAAATTTTTGGAATATTTCCGCATAAGAAAGAATAAAATTTAGTAAATATAAACTTTATTTTTTATTTCTATTATACAATGGCATTATACAATTAAATGAAATCATTTTGCCATGGCACCTTCTCAACGTCATTGGTAAAAAATTTCGTGGAACAGTTTCTTATTAAATTTAATTGCTGTCCTTTTTGCACAATTGTTGAATTATTATTAAATTCATGGAAACCTGTGATTACAATAAAATAAAAAACAATGCGGATCATATAATTATTACTAATGATAGAATCATCATCAAGGTCTCTAACAAAATTGTGCAAGATACAACATTTAACAAGATCTACTGCAAAATTTAATTCAACATTGAATGCTCTATGAAATATATGCCACTTATTAGATAAAATCCCAAATGTTGATTATACATATCTTCTGGCATGACTCAACCTATAATTAAATATTCGTTTTTCATTTGATAAAACATAGAGTCCGAAACAGAAACGGCTTCATCTCCAACTAACATGTAGGTAATTGTTGGTGTATTTGTTTCTGGTAGTGGTATTCTGGAAGGAATATTGTGAGTTTTATTTTCTAATTTTCTATAATATGAAGACTTTTCAAAAATTATGCTGTCTCCTTCTTTGCCTGACGAACCAATGTCAATATATATATAAACTTATAATTTGCATCAGCAACAGCAAAAAGAACTATTAAAAATAAGTTCTTATAATTATGATACGTAGCTACTCATATTTGGCTTTCTAATTCGTATATGTGTTTCATTAATAACTCCTATGGTGTTCGAAAAATTTTTACGGTGTTCAAATTAGTTTGCAATTTTAAGTCATTTTTCTTCATTTAGGATTGGAAAGCATTCGTTTTTCATTATCCAAATTGCATAGCAAACCTTCCTTGTAATAACAAATAATGTTGACTGTCTAATTCTATACAAATAATGCAAATCTACTAAACTGCAACTGGTCGCCAAATATCTTTAAAAATAATATATTTGGTTATAAGTTCAATGTTAATGAAAAGATGGAAAACATAAAAAATAATTATACAAAATTTTAAAGGAAACAGCTAAAATTTGGAAGTGCAGCAAAAGCGACAAGATACATTACGTCCCTCAGTTATCATTTTTAGATTTTATTTGATGTACCACGAACACACAAAGCAGTATATAAGAAATTTTCATGGAAAATGAAATTGAAGAAGCATTGGAAAATACAAACATTGAGGATTCAATATATATATGTATATGAAGAAGAAGGTAGTGATAAGATTTGTAGCTAAAAGAAAACAGATGATTGAAGAAACACTTTTAAATTATAAGAATCACCAGAAGAAACCTTTGAAAATGATGATAATACATCATTTTTCCAATTGTTACATCCTATTATAAAAGATTTCGATAATGATTAAAAAATAGAATTCAGAGTAGTAATACAATTAACAAGTCATATTAAATATTAATATACCTAAAACAGTCTTTAGACACCCATACATTCAAATCACCAATCTATGTCTACGTTTACACAATTTAATTCACCTTTATCGTCAACAGATACCTCATTTTCAAGCCAGTGAACACAATTTTATATAACAATGCTGTGTTTATTATTATCTTCTTTGTTTTCTCATCTTTATATGTTTAGTTATTTGTTCACTTGTATATCTATTTGTCCTTAATTTTAAATTACGTTTATAAAATTTAAATACATGTTATATATATACCTCAGTGTTGCAGAAATCATTTCTATTGGAGAAACAGGCACTCTCATTACAGTGTCTTTACTCTTCAACTTTTCAGAACTTTTTGCATATAATTCATCGAATGATTTTACACTTATGCGAAAATAATTCAAAAATTTTATCTTGTTTTCTCTCAAATCAGTGAATGTGGACACAGACGCTCCTTTCAGAAATTTTACACTGGTAAAGAGATGAACCCAATATTCTCTGTTTATAATTTTACTATATACTATTGAATAACACATATAAAGACGATTTGTTGACGTCTTCTCGCATCCATAACTGAGCTTGAAATGAATTACATATTACATGAAGCTGTTGCAAAACATTTGAAATGCGAAAACGCGGCAACAGTACTGCCGCAAACCGTCTGAAGCCGATCTGAGGCGATGCTTATTTCAACCAAGACGCGTTTATAAATCTTGTACAAATATCTTCTTGATGATGGCAGAGCTTGAGATTTTGATCAAGAAATATCAGAAGAACCGACTATGAATCTAAGTAACGTCTTAAGACTATACTTAAGACAATCCCATAAATAAGACGTGACTTGAATGCGGCTCATAAACTCTAATGAAATGTATTTTATTGTATGGGCGATGATTAACAGATGAATTTCTTTTTCTTAAACAAAAACAGTGTCATCAATATGCGAATGAAAAGAAAAAGAAAAATGTGTTACTTCTTCCTCAATTTTTACATTTAAAAATCATGAAGAATGGAGCATGCGCAATGTTAGTAGATGCGTTATAAACATTTGAAACTCCGATGATTCAAAGTATCCGTAACGGCATCGTACATGTCAATAATAGAACGTTAATTTTGGTAATGATCCCTGATCCGCGGACGGTACAACACCCGGTGTTTAACACAAAAGTGGAATACTCTATTGAATATAATCTCTAAACGCGAGTGAATGTGACGGAGGAAGAATTTAATTGAAATAAGTAGCCGCAAGTCGACCAACACGCACACACGTTCACGGGAACATAGAAATATGGTAGAGATAGACGACCTCGTAGTAAGCCGATCGTAAAAATAAACAGTGCGAAAGAGCAGGTGAGTAAAATGAAAAGGTACGTTGAAATATAACGAAAGTAGAGAAACAAGGACGACCAGACACACGCGAGTCCCGTGAAAGAGCGTGAAGTGGTGTTGTAATGGTAAAACGAGAGGAGAAGGATAGAGAGAACCAGCAAACCAGAACTGGATGTCGTAAGGTAATCATTGACTGCTTTGAGTGCCTGTGTGTGCTCTGACTTCGTTTCTCATCTCCTTTCGAGAACGTTGCTCTCACGTATGTTGCGCATAGTTTCGCATCGGCCGTGCGTTCCGTTCGATGATACGCGGGAAGTGTGGTTGTGTTTCGGCTGTGACACTAACAATTAAGCACAATACTGGGCTGACGACAGCCAAATCCTAGTTTATTTATTGGCGAACCATCGGCGGAGCCGGTGGCGAACAAACAGGTCTTGTCGATCGACCATGGCGAATTCTGAAGATTTAAATGAGTGGTTCGTCTTATTAATGGAATATTCAGAGCGTTGGACTTCTCCCGGTGAGTTTTTAACATTGTAATCTTAAATTCATCGTGTGCGCCTTACCATTTATGCAAACTTTGAGTAATCGAAATTTGAAATTCCAGAGATAACAGGATTTTTGCATGAACGTTTCACGAATCTCGGTTGATTTCATGAATTTATGGTGGGCACAATTGTGTGACGTGTTTTTTTTTCCTTTGAAAGAGTTTCATTTCGCGATGATTGACCCGTTTTACAATCAGGTGGCGCTTGATCGCATGACGCTTGATTGTGTGCGCTGTGCGTATACGTGCACGCACTTTTGCGAATTAATAACGCTTGTAAGATATCGAAAAGTCTGGTGAAATATAAGTAAATTCATAATATCAACATTGTACAATTGTTGCTCTTTTGTAAACGGAGTACAATGCAAGTTAATATTAATAAAAAAAAGGGATTTTTGACTACTGTGGCATCATCTATGATTTTGTTCAAATATCCCTTTCACCACATAATTTATTCTATAAACCTATGTAATTTTCATTTTTATCAGTCCTTTTACGTATACTAGTTTTCGAGTTATTGTGCTTCATAGGTTTTTCAACCCTCACCTTGAGAGGAGAACGCCTCACTGAGAATTTGCAACATGTTGACGATGTTTCTTGAAAAAATAGTGATTTAATTTGATAATTATATTTGCTATATTAATATAAGATTTTTTGTAGGTATTCGATCGCGTTGTAGATTTCTAGTTGATATTATTAAGGGATTAGAAGACCGTTTTTAATTTTTCTCACGACCAAATGAATATTGCACTAAAAATCTTTAAACGATCTGGGTTAGCTCTAAATTAGATCACTTTATCGTTTAAACTGGATTCTACACATATCACAAAAGTGATTCGTAATGTTTGGTTGTTTTTCTAATCTCTTCGGTATTTGAAAGAAATCGATCTTTTGAAATCCACTTATAAACAGATCGGAGAGAACACTAACGTATACTTCAAATTTAACGTTTGCTGACAATATTGAGAATTGTATGTAGTAACGCTTCGATAATTGTCGCATTTTGCTGCCAACATTCATCAGGGAATGAAACATAGAACATTAATAATTAATAATTGAATCTCTGTTCAAATATCTCTCTTTTCAATCTTTAGTTTGTATATTTTTGTCATTTATAATCTTCAGTTTAAACGGAAATATAAAATATAAAACTTTAGCAAAAATAATGTCATATATTGGATGCATGCAGTGTTTCCAATTTAGTGTTGTAATCAAGAAGGTAATGAATTTATATAAATAAATAAATCATAAATATAAAGTAAGATCTTGTTGTCCGTAGTTTCGTGTTAAAAAAAATTCGATTTAGAAATTCGTTGAGCATGCATGCTATTTGTATAGGAATCGGTGTCTGCCCATGACCTACTAGTTCTACGTGTAAATACTGTTGCATCCTATCCGACGAGTTTCCAAAATCAATTTGCGTGAAAACGAAGTCTCATTTAAAAAATTATACATATATTCTATACATATTTTAGACCTTACTTCTTCACGTGAAGTCGCTTTCTTTATGGGTTCTTTTTTTTTTAAGCTTACCCAAACCTTTAAGTAAGGTGCAATGAAAATAAAATAGAGAGTCAAATAATTTAGACTGGGGGTAAAAGTGAAAAATTTGTATGGAGACCTGAAATATCGGGTTTCGATTTGACAAGTTGTGAGTCTTCAAAGTACATACGTTAGTCTAACATGTTGTGCGTGTCGTTGGGGAAGTAACATCGACCGACTAATTCAGTTAAATGGGATTTCAGCGAAGACACGTGCATCTTCAGTTCTTTACCCTTAGGTTGCAGTAATAGTGGTACCGGTATTAGCCGACGCGTTGGTCAAACTTGCCCGACTTTTTCAAATACGTGTGTAATACGTGCGTGAGATCGGTAAATAATCTGTGGAATATTAATTACATCAGAATGAGAAATGACAAATGATATTTATTAGTAAAACATTCGCATCTTTGGATCATGTTGATTTCGCCGATTTTGTCAAGAAATTGGAAAGTATTGGAGAAAATCGCACGATCCGTATCGTAAAAAATTGATTGTCGTGGAAGTAACAAGGTCTCACGATCTGTCATACAATGAAGCATTATCTTGATGCAGATCTTATATGAAACGAATATAGAAAGTTTCTAGGAGTTGAAAATCTTTCTAAAAAAAAAACATGCACAGGAAAAGCTACAAATGGAAAAAGAGTAAAAGAAAACTGTTCGAAACGGATGATTAATGTACATCAGTTACATCTGCTTCTTCTATAATTATACATGGTTATTATCACGTGAAGTTCATCTTAAGGAACAAGAACTTGTACACATAAATCTCTTCTGAGATCTCTTGAGAAAATAAAAAAAGGACAATGTATCTACTCTTACTAGAGAATTATCCAAAATATAGCTAGTTGACCTATAACGAAATTAAAAAATGGGTGGCTGCAATGTCAAATAGTAACAAAATTAAAAAAATCGACTTGTTATTTCTAACTTCTTAAAATTGTTGGAAGAAGAATGAAGCATTTACTATAGGAAGTTGGAAAGAATAACCCTTACCACAAACTAAGCGATCCCCCTACCTCTTACAATCAATACTGAAAATGTTTATTTACCATAAAAATCCGCTGTTTAGTTATAAGCTTTACGTCAAATTATTGGTAACCAAAAGAT